GTCTGGCTGGTTTATCTTAAGATACAGTTTTGTATTGCACTAATGCATACTATTCCACTAATGCTTTCATCTGTGCGTGGCATAGTTGTAAGTAAAAGTATGAGAAAATTCTCCCAGGGTATATCGAGTGCTTCAGTAGAGGCAGCATGAACCTCAGAAGGAGCTACATACATACATACATCGGAAGGAGGAGAAGCAGCACCAATGATGTCAATGTTGCCGCAGAGATTCTGCAGTTGTTGCATGGTTGAAGTTCCTCACTTCCGTACTGCCTCGGTCCCTGGCTGGCGGATATGGCGTCGTTAAATTGGTTTCGCATCCGGTCGCCATCGCTGTCGCCAAAATATCCCCACAGGCAAACACACGCCCAGACAAAGAATGGGAGACACAAGTAGAAACATTAATAGTTTATTTGACTGTTCACTCGTTGAGGAAACCGAAACTTCGAGGCAGCAGCCATGGGATCTACTTCACATTCTTGAGAGTTGGGAGTGGAAATGGTGGAGCATGTCTGAGCAGCGAATGTGTCCTTAATATGCGGTCGTAGCTGCTGAACAGATTTTGAGGTGATTAACTGAACGGAAAGAGATCGGTTTCTATAATGTCGACTACCACCATTCGAAAGAGGGTTGGTTATGGATAGTGATAATGAATGGAGAAAATGGAGAGTTTGCACCTAATAGCAGACATGTATTGTAGTGCTTTCAAAGTGCGATTACATCAAATGTGATAATCGGTAATCTGTCCTTTGTAATCAATGCAGTACCATCGATTCGACTGTTAATGACAAAAGGAGATCCAATATCTATAAAAATGGATGCATATTGTGTTTAGTCTTCTGGAAATCAAATTTCCTCTCCCAGTGTCGCTCTGTTGGCGTTGTCTGGGTTTTCCTTTTCTTGAGCATCGGTGAATGGCGAATGCGCTGTAGCCCAAGGGTCACTCTTGGCCCTAACAGTGTTCTGTATGTGGCTGCGGTGCGAATTGATGAAGCTGGATGCTGAAATCGGTTCTGCCTTGAGCACGGAAGTCGGGGCTTCAAGCTGAGCTCGCCCCGCCGCGCCCCGCCGCGTCCCGCCCCGCCTCGCTTACGAGGCACATGCATAATTAATGTCCCATTTAAGGGGGAGGAACTACACACACACACGCGCACACATGTGCACGGGTACACATAAATGCATGAAGGTACATGCATGAGTACATGTGTATGTGTGGGCTGTCTGGGGAAAATTCAATTAACTTTGACTCTCGGTTCGGGGAGGGAATAAAACCTTCGTGGCGTCAATGAGCAACCGCAATTGGTATAAATTTGAAATTTTGCAGCTTCTTCCTTTTGGGATATCCTGCCAGCAGGAGCCTTTTATGGAGGAGCACTGTTCCCCGGTGTACATATGTATGTGCGAGTGTGAGAGTGCGTCCCAATAAAAAATTTAATTTTAAGCCTAATGGCTGTCATGTGTGAGTGTCTGTGTTCGGTGGAACCGTATCCTTTGGTTTCTGTCTGCGCCGGCTGCACTTAATTTGCTCCTCGAGTTGGCAGTAAAAGGCGTCATCGACTGAAATGAAATAAAAGCGCTTGCAGCATGCGTAATAAATTGCGCCGAGTTCCGGGCCGTAAGCCGTGGGCCGAGGGCCGAGGGCCGAGGGTAACCCCTTAGCACTGACTCAAAACGTTAACCCGCTCAACCGTTCCTCCCCCTCAAAAGATTAGACGGCAAAATGGTGCACTTTAAACGGTCGAAAGAGCGCATCCTACTTGGGGATCCCCGAAAAGGGTGAGCGTGTGTATGCGTCCGCTGCCACCAGCTGATGAAGATTTTTTTCAGCCCTGCCCTGCCACATACAAAAAAATAAAAAAACGGTGGGAACGTTGTAAGTTGCTGCTACGGCCGAAACTCTACATTTATACCCGATACTTAGTCCGCTTAGGGCGCTAACATTGAACGACATGGAGTGTGTGAGAGAGAGAGAGAGACAAAAAACCAGTCAGATCGAGTAGGGCGCTGTGTATTTGTATCTTTCGGTTATATCAATGATCAATGATCAATATCCGATCTGATCCAGATTCGGCAATATGGTAGATATGGTCGTTCTCTGTGGTATTGCGTTTTTGATTTTTGTAGATTGTGGCTGTTCGAAATACACTTGTATTATTATTTGTATTTGGTTTCTCTAGCTTTTATAGCATCTGAGATCTAGGCGCTCATTTCGAGTCGGCTATTGATGTGAACCAAAAAGCGTTGGAAACGCTTCCTTCTGGGCGTTACGCACATCCACTACATCCAAAAATCGAATATACCCCAATATTCTTTTTCAGTATCGGATAAAAAATTGCAAAAAACTTGGGGGCAAAAGATTCAGTCCATACTACAAACATAAGATACCCGCTACTCAGATTCAATTATTGTCGAGTTCGTAGAATCTAATGTAAAATGAGTAAAAGAATAGAATACAGTCAAGGGAAAAATGTTAAAATATATCTTACTGGAATATAGCATTTAATTCTCTTATGGAAACAAATATCCTCTTTTAATTTTACTTTTTGGAACAGCTAGTATGCCTGTGTACTTATGGAGCGAACGAGGGAAAAAAATAAAAAAAAGGAGCACCAAAACGTAAAACGTAGAACGAAGGCTTCGGTGCTCAGGCTCGTACCCTGCGCGGGACCCACAGCCGATGCCCCAGCTATGGCTAACCAAAACCAGAACCAGGGCATTGGAATTCTCAAGTTGAATACACGAATATTCACGGGGTCTAACTGAGCGAATTACGGACATCGGACATCGGAGAGTGGGCCGAAGAACTGGAGGCCTGTCCAGCAATCCACTTACTTTGATGAATGCAAAGGGACTCAAGAGTAGGATGGATTCGAGGTAGAACCGATACCAGATGGTGCTGGATGGTACCTACCTAAATGCTCAGACATTTTAATTGAAGTACTTATTATCATCATGCATCAACCACCGGCTCACTCGCTTTGCTTGCTCGCGCCGAATCTTTTTTATATAATAGATACTATAAAATATTAAAAAAAATTCATAAGCCTAAGTCGAAATGTTTTGAACATATATGGGAAGGGTATCCGGGAAGTGTGAGAGCTCGAGACATCGGTGGCGCCAGTTCGACTGGGCTGGACTGGACGTGCTGTGGACTGGCCTGTGCCTTTCAATTTACAAAATGCGCCTAGAGCCGCTTTTCACGCGTCGCACACTCACCGCAGACCAAAGAGAAGCAGCAAAAACAAGGAACAAGGAACAAAAGAAAAAGCGAAATACAAAACGATAAAAAAGCACAAAAAGTGGAAAAAAGTTGAAGCAAAATAAAATAAAGTAAAAATTGGCAGAAAAAGGAACGGAGCGCCGGCAAGCCAGAGACCGAGACAAGGCAGTGACAAAGCCTTCAGCTATTAAAGCCTCCTCCCGCCTCTGCCACAATCCCAGTCCAGGGAGATCCACATCCACATCCTGTCTATGGGAATCTATGTTGTTAGACCAATGCCCAACCCCACTGACCCCTCCCTCCCAGAAAAATATGTTGGCATTTGTAGTTTCGTGAATGGGGTTCGTTTTATTCATAATTCATTACTCGGTTTATATTTATACTATTTACTGGATATTTTCTGTCGTCCTGACTCACCCTGCGTCCTGTGTCCTTCTTCTCACCCAACTTCCAGCTGCAACATCAAAACGGACCCAGGACGACAACGACCCCAACAGATTTTTGTGTTAATCCGCTTCTCTGGGCATTTGCGGCCCGTTACTCTCAAGTACCTAGAAATATTTCTCTACATCAAATGCGTTCTCGTTAATTTGCCATCTCATTGTGGGCAATGACGGGCACGGGGAAGGGGACTCAGCGCCCTCCACTTTGGGTTCTCTGCTCTTTTCGTTAAATTTTAGCTTAATCTTAAGTGTGCTTTGCTTTTCTCTGCTCGACTTTGCTCTCATCATTTGCCAATTTGTCGCAATACTTCGGAGAAATTTTCTCAAAATTCCCAAAAGACAAGCGCTTTGCCGCCTGTCACCATCACTTACACAAATTGTATTTGGCTATGTCCACGCACAAAAAAAAGTTATCTATGTCATATTTTTATAATTTATAGTTAAATATGTTATTTGCTTAGCGGCTTCTGTGTCGGATTTCGGTGTACTTGGCGAAAGGAAGTAGATTCCGATCGCATGCAATGCTGTGGTAGAACTTTCATTCAAGTGTAGTCAAGAAACCAAAGAGAGCTGAAGGAAAGCATATCATGAGCATAAAAGAAATTTTAAAAAGAAAATTATACATAGAAATTTTTAAAATCGTTCATGTTGTGGATATACGTATGAAAGTAAAACTGCATCCGAAATGCAAGCAGTGAAAACCGTGAAAAGTACATTTAGTTGGAATAGAGTTAAAGCAAAACGTCGTAAGGCCCGCTCAAGTGTGCGCAAGCCAATGGAAAACGTGAAAAGAGGAAAGTTGGAGCTCTGTAATTGCTTCAGAGTTCTCTACACTCTCCCCCTCACACTCGCACTCACGCTCACACTGTACCACTGCGTACCGATCTGTCAGTCTCTTTATTCTTTGACCATCCGTGCCATCTCTTTCTGCCAGTACGAGTATCTGCTCTCCCTGTCGCACAAAGTAGACCGAAATCCAAAAAACAGAGCCCTTATGTATACTGTTTGTAAACACACGTTTATGTTTTGTTTTTTTCTTTTGAATTTTTTTTTTTTTTTATATTTTCTGTTTGTTTTTATAGTACTTTAGATTTGGCCTTTGCTGTGCACACTATCTCTTTCTGTGTGTGGCTCGCCATCTCTTTCTAGCCAGCTTTCTGTTGCATCGGTTGCAGCTGCTTCAGATTCTCTGTGGCTTCCATTTCCAGCACTTTCCATTGTTTCTTTTATTCATTTTTGTGGGGCTTTCCTTAAATCCACTGTCCCTTTCCCTTTATCCTGGTATTTCTATTCTATATCTATATCTCTGCTTTCTCTGTGTCTCTGACTGTTTGTGTGTGTGTGTGTGGTGGTGTGTTGTTTGTTTGTGCGCGTGTTTATATTTGTGTGGTGCTCCTTCCGGTGAAAAATTGACATATTTGGTGCTGCCAACTGGAATCGTCGACTGCCAGCAACTCGAACCGAACTGAAGACTGAGCTAAGTTTTATTTTGGCTGCTTTTCGTATCCGCTTGGCGTTGACTAACAGCTTGGATTTCCGGCATTTTCTGGCTAAGACAGAACACAACAAACACAGAAAAACTTTGGCCAGAATGTGGATATGGATGATGATGATGTGGATGTGGATGTGGGTGATTGTTGGGTTGAGGTTGAGTCAGGGAAGGGAAAAATGGCTTGGAATGCAATTGCTTGGAGGGGAGCGGATCGAATTGGGGTCGTGCCAACTGATTCAATTTACTGACACTCGGAACTCGAGCTAGCTCTCTCTCTCTCTCTCTCGCCCCCTCACTCACTTTTCTTTTCCTTCTCTCCATCTCCTTCTGTCATTTTGAAGACCAATTACATGCACAGTTCTTCGGGTTCTTTGGTTAAAGTTGCTTCGGAATGGAGAGAACTTTGCTAACGGTATCAATGGTGCTTGGGGAACAGTTTTTTCCTGTTTTGTTTGTGTGTATGTGTGCGCACTCGCGTGTGTGTGTGTGAGTGGCGGAAATGGGTGTTAACAGTTACTGTTAAGGCTACGATTACGGTTACTGGGGAGTGCTACTGCTACTGCTGCTGCTGCTGCTGCTGCTGCTGCTGCTGCTATGGATGCTGTTGAGGCTGATGCTTCTGCCGATGCCGTTGCCGATGCCCCATACTCTGCCTCTGCCTCTGTCTCTGCCTCTGCTCTATCCCAGGATCTTCTTGAAATAGCTAACAGTTTCCGGCTTTGTCAGCGAGCGTCGTCGATTGGGCTTGAATGGCGCCTCAGTTTCCTCCTCCAGGAAGTTGTGTCTTGTTGTGGCTGCCTCTTCCTCTGCCCCATCCTTCTCACCGTCGTTGATATTTTTCTCTTTCTCTCTATCTTCTACATTCTTCTTAGCGCCCTTTCCGGCTGACATTTCAGCCCCATCCTTTGCTGCAACTGTGTTTGGCTTTGATGTTGGTCTAGCTGAAATTTTTGGTGTAGTTATCCGTGAAGTGGAAGTTATTGCTTCATTTGGAGTTGTTGATGCAGCCATTGGTGTTGTTGGGGTTGCTTTTGGTGTTGCTCTTGGTGTAGCTGTTGGTGTTGTTCGTGCAGCCATTGGTGTTGTTGAGGTTGCTGCAGATGCGTCGGTTGGTGTTTCCCTAACAGTTGTTGGTGCAACTGTAACTGTCGCTGTTGTGGCAGCAGCTGTTGCATTCAAGTTGTATATATTTGCTGCGGTTGGCTTTACAGTGTTCTCATTTTCTGCTGCACGTGTTATTGTTGTTGTTGTTGCTGTTGCTGTTGCTGCCTTTGTTACTGTTTTTGGTATTGCGACAATATCCTGTTTGGTGGTGTCTTTAGCTACTTTCACGCCTGTCCCGACTCCATCCACTGCCACACTTTGCGACTTGACTTGACTTGCTGTTGTCACCTCCACACTGTCTGGTATACCTGCTGGCGTTGCTGTTGCTGTGGCTGCCACTGTAGATGTTGCCGCTGCGTCTGTGTCTGCTGTTGCTGCTGTGAGCCCTGTTAATGACATGATTGTTGACGGCTGCTCCTTCTCCTCCTGCTCCTCCTTTACGGCTGCTTTTGTTGTCGGCGCTGGTGTTGTTGGGGCTGTTGCCGCTGTTGCCGCTGTTGCCGCTGTGGTGGCATGTACTGGTTTATGGTCGCTGTGATCGACATGCTCCTGGTTCCCATGTCTGGTTGGTGGCACATAGTGCGACTTCACCAGCAGCATGGGCGGAATGAAGTGCGAGTTGTCCGCGGACTCCTTGACGTGTGTAGCATGCAACGGTGGCAACTGCTGCAATGTGGAGCCATCGTCTCCACTGTGCGGTGTCTGCTGGTGCGTGTGCTGCTGTTGTTGCACTGGATGTATGGGATGGCCCAGGTTGTTGCCGGGCGGCACCATTGATGTCGCTCCCATCGATGACGGGCTGTCAGTGGTCGCTGTTGTTGTTGTTGTTGAACTTGTTGGCACTTCAGTTGTTTTTGTAGTGGTTGTTGGCAGCTCAGTGGTTGTTGTAAGCTCAGGGGTTGTTGTTGTTGTTGTTGTTGTTGTGGTTGTTGTAGTTGTGGTCGTTGTTCCAAGTGTGGGAGTTGTTATAGGGGCCTGAGTCATCGTGGTGTCGACGGCCATTGTGGCGGTCCGTGATGTTCCAGCCGTTTGAGCTTCAGTGGTTGTCGTTACTGCCGCTTCGACTATGGGCGGCATGGTCCTCAGGTCCTGCGGAAGGATCTTCTTCTTGTGAGGCAAGTGTTGAAATATCTCGTTTGAGGCATCACTGTTGCTCTCGTCCATTGCATCGGCTATGTTTTGTGGCAGCTGCTCCTCACTGAGAGCCGGCTGGTCGCCCATCATCATCTCTTCCAGCAGCCTCTTGCTGGTCGTCGGCTTCTGTTTCTGCAGTTGTTGCTGCATCTTCGGAATAAACTCCGGGGTGTTGGCCTTCTTGGCGGACTTTTTCACCGGCTTGGGGATCTCATCTGGTATGCGGTAGAGCCCGGAGAGGGATACGGAGCCGGGGGCATCGGCCTGCATGAACTCGGCCAGACCGAACCGCTCGTTCAGCGGGAATGGGGGCAGAGTCGGCACCAGGGGCACCAGGGGCACCAGAGGCGGCGCCACCTCAATGTTGATGGCCATGCCCCTGCGTCCGTTGTAATTGGGCAGCAGATCGATGTCGTTGTTCTCGTTGTTATCCGTCCGGATGTTGTTGATAATCTGCAGTGACTTGAAGTGCGAGTTGGTTATATCGTTGATGCGCTGCGCCTCCAGTCGCTCCTTGGGACAGATCAGCTTCCGGACGGCCCGATCACGATCCTGAAAATCAGATCAGACAATTCAAAACAAAACAAATTATATTGCGAACTACCAATAGAGCAGCGTTTCGATAGATCGGAGGATAATGCTCACCCCCTTATCTTTGAGAAAGAAAAATAATGGTGGATGGGACTCACCTCCTTTCCTTTGCAGGTGTGTCGCAGAAGGCCCTCCTCCTGGCAGTTACGGATAAGCTCTATGCTGGCCGTGTCCGCCATGTACTGCATGGTCAGGTTGGGCATGTCCTTCAGAATGCAGGCGTCCGCCCAGCTGGGTACTGATTGAATCAAGCAAAAATTTACCGAAAATTGCGTAAGCTTCACTCAGATCTCCATCGCACCCCTCACGAGCACTTACCTGGCATCTCGCACAGGAAGGAAGCCGTTTCGGGGCCACCGCAGCGCAGAGCGTGCCAACGGTAATCGCGTATGGGGTCAATAACGGCGCAAAGCGGGGCATCCATCAGTGGCAACGACTCGGCCCAGTAACCAGTGTCGGCCACCAGGGGACGCGAGTTCCTGTTCCCCAAAGCACAAGATGAGCAATTTCGATTGGGTATTATTATCAGACTATCTTTCATTCATTTGTACTACATTATAATCTATTTACTAATCTAATCTATATCCTTTACCGCCTTTCTTAGAAATAAGATGATCAAACTTGTAGTCTATTAATCAGTTATTAATCCATCATTTATTTTCTGGTTCTTGCTCAAGCTTCACAAAGTGAAATCATTCTTACGAGTATTTCTTCTTATTATTATCTGTCTTATGTCAACTGTATCAAAATCTTGTACCTCGGTGTTTGTGCAACAACTGCTCCCAAACGGCTCGACCGTTGGTATGAGAGTAGGGACTTGAGTATTATTTATTGTGGAGTTAGCTTCGTGCCTACGGGATCGCGCACACTCTAGCGTAAAGAAGAGCTGAAAGCGGAGCTGATCTGAGAGCTTTTTGCACATCGAATCAGCCAGCAAGAACAAATCATGACATCGATCGGATCAACAGAAATAGTTCATAATACGACGGAGAGAGAATTGTTTGCCCGATTCGTACTATCTGAAATTCCATTACGTGTATTTCTTCTCTTCTTTTAGTCGTTCATCTTCATTTATAAAATTGAATTAAAAATGTTTGCATCTTCAGTATCTTTCCTATCTCCAAAAATCACTTTCCAAATTCTTAGTTTTGGTTTTGCATGCAACTACAACGGAATTGTGGCACCGAGCTCGAAACACAGGGTCCACGCAGTCATAGACCCATCCTAGGCGTCTGGGGACGGGACCCTTCTATACACATGTCGGCCCTAACAGGATGGACAATTGTTACAAAACGGCTTTCAGCTGTCCGAGTCTCTGTTCCGAAAGCTCTGTTCTGTGTTTTTGCGTGACGTGTGCCGTGCTGTGTTGCTTGCTGTAGTACTTACGACCACATAAAACGATCCGAGTTCTGCGGTCGCATGAGACCAATCCAAACGATGTCGTTCACATCCAATTCCCTCAGCAGGTCGCGCGTTGCATCGAATTGAAAACTGTTGTCGACTGTTTGGTGGGGTGGGTGGGGATACACACACACACGGAAAAGCAGTGGGGAAGGGAAAGAGAACAGAAAGAGGGGAGAGAAGAGAGGGGGAGAATGAATAGTTAAAATGAAAACGAGACGACAAATGGTTTTTATTTGTTCTACACAAGAGTATACGTATTTCTATTAAATTCGCCTCGTCTATTGTTTTGCTGGTGTTGATTTGTTCTGGCTTTTGTTTCGGTTGATTTTATTTTTTATATATGTATGTATGTATATACGTGTTTACTGTAAAAACGGGGTAGGAGCAAGGAGCCAGGAGCCAGAAGCCAGGAGCGAGAACCCGGCCATCCACTCATGGCATATCCCAATGCCATCCCTCCAGTGACAGCACAAATTGTTAACAAAACGCTGTTGGAAATTATTTTTGTTTCTGTTTTTGTTTCTATTTTAAAATTGTTGTTTTTGTCGTTAGTGCCTCCTCTGTTTTCGTTGCTGTTTGCTGTTTGCGATTGCTATTTTGCCTTTGTTGTAAGAGTGTTTCCCCCCATGTTCACCGCCCCGCCCCGCCCCGCCCCGCATCGAACATTTGCATCCCTGGCTTGCCAACAATTATTCTACGCCCACGCTGAGTCTACACTGAATGAATCTCTCTCTCTCTCTCTCTCAGTCCGGCTTTGACCACTCGTTTGCCAAAACAATGAGCACACGAATCGAGGCAGAATGGGTATGAGGGGGGATGAACGTGATGTCCAATGATCCCTGAACTTTTGACCCTATCAAACTGGAGCTTGGACCCTTTGTAAAGACAGCGAGGGCAGAGCGATTCTCTTTAGATCTCTAATGACGGGGATACAAGTACCAGTCGAAGTCCTCCTGAAGTCCATATGAAATCCACAGGAACCCTCGAATGAATCCAAATATTTAGGAGATAAGAAACTTATTTTACAAACGATTTCAGGAACGATCAGGAGAAGCTTCCAAAGAAAATGTGCCTAGAAAGACACCGTTATGGAGAGAGACTTCTCACCACTAACGCTCTTTCTTTCCCACGTCCCCCTGCCTAGAAATTTCACACTCATGAATGGTTATTCTGATATGTGTCCAACCAATTTCCCGGCAACATTTTGCGGTATTATCCAAGCGGTCGATGAGCCAGTTGAGCGCTTGTGCTATACTGATTTAGCTGCACTGAGCTGTTTGGCTATCTTCATCTGACCCCAATCTGCCCTGTCCCTCCGTCCGACCCGCTCAAAGCTGGCCCCCAACCCTCCACTGCCCCGCTCCTCTCTTGGCACTGCAGCGACAGCATTTGTCAGAGGGATTTATTGTGTTATGCGGATGGCATGGTGGTGCGATGCGATGGGATGGTGTTCTGGCCAGGATCTGAGGGGACACCCGGTATTTACATGGCAAATGCAAACCGAAAGCAATGCGGTAAATGAGACGGCCTGAAGGGAGGGGGAGTGGGAAGGGAGAGTGGGATGAGGATGGGGGACGCTCAGGAAAAGCTTTTGGGGCCTGGCCACATAAAAGACTCGACTGTGGCTGCGTCACTTTGCTGTCATTTCATTCATTTGTGAGCGACAATAGCAGCCCAGCCTCACACCGTCGGCCTTCGTTTATCACCATGGGCTCTTCTCCCATCTAACATCTCCTGCCGTCTGCTGCCTGCCTCCTGCCTCCTGCCTCCTTTAAGCCTTGGCCAGGTTCCTAAATGCATTCATTTGGCACTAGGTGACACAGCCAACAGCAGCCGCCTCCGCCTTCGCCTTCGCCTCCGCCTTTCGTCTCGTCCTTCATTCTCTTCTCTCATTCTCGGCTGTGTCCGTTGTCACAACAGCTGCCGGTCATTTGTAATAATGTGCAATCCTTCTTCGCCGCACTCACCCCTTATTTTAACCCTATTCAGACCTGTTTTCACCGTCTTTCCTTTCCACCCTCATTCTCGGTGCTGTCACTGGGCCTATTTGCATTCCACATTTTGTTAGCGTTAGGAATTCTTCATCCGTATTCTAGCTTTCGCTCTCTCTCTCGCTCTAGACTTGGACTTACTGTTTGGCTTTCATTAGGTTCTCCAGCCGTGGCCATGGCCCTACCCTTCCTCCGCTGACTGTTAATCGTCAGCTGTCGCTTACCTGTCACCAGATTGGCATGATGAAACTGGCAGACGGCATCTGCCTCGAACCAGGAGATGCGATCGCGGAAAAAGCGATAGAAGACATTCAGGCCCTCTTGTGGCATGGTCCAAGTGTTGCTCACGTTCACCTGTAAGGACAAAAATAGAGACCGGAAGGGGGTTGAGTGACGGTTTATTTGTATGCGACCACCGTGCGTATACCTTATGCATTAAGCATACGCCTCGTGGCCCCCGTAAAGCGTTTACATTTTTAATGCCTCTGAATCTCTCGCTCACGTGTAGTGAGTGTTGGGCTGTGTTGTGTTGTGCGGCCTGTGTGGGTGTGGGTGTGGGTGTGTATGTGTGTGTGTGTGGGGTTGTGCGCTTGGCACTCGGTGCTGGGATTCTACGACATTAAAAATACATACAACAAAACACACGCGCACAGTTGCTTAGGCGAAGGAGGACGCAGAGGCAGAGGAGGAGGGTTGATGTAAAATCTGCTTTGAAGCTTGTGCCCATATATTTCATTAGAGCAGGCAAAGGCACCGGCACTGGCACCAGAGGAGCTGCCGAAGCTGGGTGCGGAGAGGGGGAACAGAGTCCACAAGGCAACGTCATGGCACCATACGACAACCTTCCTTGCCTCAAGAGAGAGATTCAAAAAATGTTCTTTGTAGCAGCCGCGTGCTGAGACCGAAACCAGCAGCAGGGGAGAAATGTTGGGCACTCATCCCTGCCCCCTGCTCCCTGCCTCCTGCCTCCTGCCTCCAGCCTCTGTTTCACAACTCATGACTCTGCCTCCTGCGCTAGCCCCTTGTTGCTGGTCCTCTTTTTGGGAATGGAGTGACAGGCATTGCTGTTCTTACATTAACTAATTAGGAGCAGAGGCTGGAGCATAAGAAAGCACATGCTCATACATACTTAAGTACATATGTACTAGTATATGTGCAAAAAATGTATCCTTATAAAGTATAAATCACCAAAATGCCGAAATTTGAGATGAGGTACCTTTCAGGATGGAATCAAACAGAAATTTAAATGAGGAAGAGAATCCCTGATGCTGAGTTGTAAATTCAAACTGTTTTATTTTCGAAACTTATGTACCATATACAGGAAACTATAATCCATTTTGCAAATAAAACCAACGCTAAGGAAAGGAGGTGATGTGCGGTTGTGTGGAATTACTCGTATTAAAAAAATATTCACTCATCGGGTTTTTTTTTGCTCGCAGAACATTGTCCATGGAAAATGGACAAGAAATGACCAGAGATGCAGCATGGATACAAAGTTCTTGTTCATATGAACAAAGTTCCCATTACGAAATACACAAAAACTAGTTCCGATTCTTTTTATGCAATCCAGAAAAGATGCAATTTACACATGAATTTATTTTCATTTATTTATTATTATTTATTTATTTTTCTAGCCTGAAGTATACTAAGCTCAGATCGGATAGTCTAGCCGCTTCGTTTAAATGATTGGACAACCAATTATTGTCTCGACTACTGTAATGGTTTACTTGATCCCCAATTTTAGGGATGTGGCGATCTCTTCCGAGCTTTGAGGTCCGAACAAACCAAGGAGTACCTCAGAGTCATCGCTGCATGATTTTAATATTTTCAGACTTGAATGGCGTATGTGTGTGCATATTGGAATTATCAGCAAGAATTCGCTACGAAGTGGAAACTTACACCTTGAGCTGATATAATGACTACTCTTGCGCTGACTAATACATCCAGTGAAAGTTAGATCTGGTGGTACGTTCACTAATTGGTTTAGGTTTACTCCGGTAATACTCCGTTTTTGTTGCTATTTTTGCACTGATCCGAGGTAAATTCGGAGTTGCTCAGCAACTGCTTTGTGGCAGGTGCATGAGCAGAGTGTGGCAGCGTAAGTTCCGCCCAGGAAGTTACCCGGGTTGACGTATGGTGGGGGTATGTCGCATTGAGGTAACGGTGATAATCTAATAGTTTTTATTTCAGAAATCACGACATTGAGTGTAACAATGAATGTTATTTGACTCAGGAACGATTTTGTGACTGTATACTGCGGGCGGGTGAGAGAATTTTTGGTATGTATAAATGGCCTTGTGCCTGTTTTCGTCAATTGGCAATTTAGCTTGGTCTGATTAGCGTTGCGAGTATGAGGAGCAACTCTATGTACTTCTCCCGGAGTCCCGTGCTGTCTTCGAAGTCATAACTGGCGGGAATCCAGTGAAACCAATGTTAACAGACAGGAATGCTGGCCATAAATTATGGCAATCATTTTTTCTCCCATCCTTCGCGTACTTTTTCTCTTTTTCCCCTCTCCCCTGATCTGGTGGATGATTCAACATTGCCCATACGCCCTGCTTTGGGGTACCAATGAGAATGGGGTGGGGGAGGAAGTCAAGCATAACAGAGCAGGCATTTCATTAACTTAATTAACATTTAATTGAAAAATTAAAAAAAAAAAACTTTTTTCTCTGTCCACAGAATGCGGGCAGGGCGCGCTTTCATCTCTTAATTGATGCGCAAAAAAATGCCATCAGCCATGAAATGAAAGCCGAAGAAAAATAGGATGAATCAGGGTGCAGGGAGGGTTGGCTACTTTGATAAGTAAGAGATTTGATGGTGAATATAAACAAAAAGGGGGCCATAAACACGCCAGAAGGGAGGGGAGTGTACCCTGGGTAAGTCACTTATCAGTCGATTAACTTTGTTTTTGTATCAATAATCACTCAACGTATATCTTTGGCAATTTAATTCACTCACTGCCTTTGTAATTAATCCGCGTATGTAATGAATTTAGAAGTACTAAGAGAATACATTTATGACTATTATTATGGGACCATAATTCGATATTTCGAAATTTTATTTATACATATGTACATATATATCTGGGACTAACAGGCTCTTTGCAGCGGCTTGTTGGTGAAGGGTAAGGTGCAGGAGCAGCCCACAGATTATTCAATTGAATCGGAGTGGATTCGAGCGAACGCATTAACACATGTTTCCGCGACCTGTCTATGTGTCCTGTACGTGGAATTATGGGATTATCAATAATTCAGAGAAAATCGTTGCATTCATAATAAGTCAATTATAGGCACAGAAAAAATTCATCAAAAACTGAGTGGAGTTACAAATGCGCTTCATTGTCCGTGAAATTGGAATCAAATTACTATCAAACGAGGGGGAACGTTGTGAGTCGCTGCTGTGGCCGCGACTCTACATTTATACCCGTTATTCAGTCAGTATCTCTCCTCTTCTCCAGAGGGCGCACATATAGCTCTGCCAAGAGTGTGTGAGAGAAAGAGAGAGAATGAGTAAGAGCGTGGCCCCGCTATGTTGCCACTGAAATCTAATTTGTTCCGTCTGGCTATAATATTAACCCGATCTGATTCAGATTCTGCAGTCTGGAAGATATGGTAATTTTCTATGATTCGGCGTTTTTGGTTTTCTCGTATCTTCAAAATTATGGATGCCACCGACTTTCGCCTTTTTTAGGGGCGTGTGATATCAGTGTGATATCACAGGAGTCTGGATACAGAATTTCGTTGCTGTAGCTCTTATAGTCTCTGAGAAGTAGGCTTCAAGCAAGACGGAAAGACGGGTGGCCAGATATGGCTCTAACGACTCGGCTATTGATGCTGACCAAGAATATATATAACTTATGTGGTCGGAAACGCTTCTTTCTGTGCGTTACACATATCCATTTTGTGCACAGATCGAATATACTCCTATACTCTTTCTGAGTATCGGGTATGTAAAGGGGAGCGGAGCAGAAGGGTTGAAAGCGAAAACAATAGAACTACGAACTAAACCCGAAATGTAATGAGAAATACTAGATATAATTAGTAGTTGGGACATTAGCTAGGGAACTCATGTATTCAAATCAGACTTTGATTACGGTGCTATACGACCCAGTATTGTCTTGGGTCCCCTTTAGATAAGTATACAAATTTAGCGGAAGTGAAATAACAGATTTGTGGTATAAGTCGAGAAACCAGATATAGTAGATACATATGTACATATGTATGTACATATCTGTAAGTATGCATATCGTACAGAGATAGCACCAACATCAGAAGAATCAACCTGAGCAACAGCAGCAATTAGCAAACTAGCAAAGTACGAGTAAGTAGAAGCAATTTGAGCAACATCCAGCCACAGGACCAGATGCAGGGGCAAAGGCAGTAGTAGCGGCAGCAGCTGCTCTGTTCCCGCAGTCTGTTGACTTTTCCATTTTCTTTTTCCCTCGCTGTCTTGTTTTTTTTTGTGTCTTGCTTTTTGGACACTCGGAAACTTGGTGTGCAAACAGTTCCCTGACTGCTTCTTTGCCTCCTGCTGCTCCATTCGGCCCTACTTTGGCTGCTTCTCCCGCTGCCTGTTGCCTGATGTTGTCGATGTTTCTGCTGCTGATGCTGTTGTTTGCCCGCTGCTGCTGCTGCTGCTGTTCTCTCGTTATTCTTTGTTTGTAATTATGATGAAGACATCACTAAGGATGCTTTAGCGGGGCATACTGTTGCAAGGGGACTACAAATTAAACAAAAGAATGAGTGAAAGCACAAAGCGCTGCAAAAGACATTTTTTTTCTTTGTATAATTTAAGTATTTGCATTTTATGAGCGTTAAATAAGAGATGGGCAAGAGAGGGGCAAAGATGAGAATACATAGGGTAACGGAGAAGTCGTCGAAACTATCCGGGTGGGCCAGGCAGTGCTTTCCCTGACAAAAGGCGACAAGAGTATGGCAGCAGAAAGGTACTGAAAGATCACTGAAAGATCACCTCCCCTTCGTTCAGGGAAAAAGCTTAAATGGAGTGAAAAATGCGGTCCATAAATGAGGACAACACTCTTCGAACGTGTTGGGTTTTAGCCACAATGCGGGGCTAAGAATAACACCCAAGAAGTGAGGAAAATATCACGAAATTTTCCTGGAAAACCAAAAGCATTCACACTCTGTCAGTGCTGATCCATAACAAATGGTGAATGCATTATGTTAGTGGATTCACGCCATTCAACAGTGTTCGAGGGGCTGCCTTTCCTCATTTTCCTGAGCTTTATTGGTTTCTTTTTTGTTGTTGTATGTACTCGTATTCGAATTTCGAATATAAAATGAGGTAGGAGGAGAAGGTGGAGGGACAACACACACAATCTGCGTTGGCAG